CGTCCCGATTTGGCGAGCCTAATTATGGCCATAACGTCCAGGCCGCGCCATTCCCGAGAGAATTATGAACTCGGCCATCCCCCTCCCCTCTCCCCCTCCCCCTCATCCTCCCACTCGCGCTGCTTTCTCGAAGTATTCCCGAAGGTTTCCCAAAGGATTCCCGAAGAACTCCCGAAAGATTCCCAAAGGATTCCACAAAGATTCCCGATTCTTACGCTTGCTGAGGGGAGTTTATTGCAGTATTTTTTCTCTTTCTTTCGTTTGTGTTGTGTGTGTGTGTGTGTGTGTGTGTGTGTGTGTGTGTGTGTGTGTGTGTGTGTGTGTGTGTGTGTGTGTGTGTGTGTGTGTGAGTGTGAGTGTGTGAGAGTGTGTGTGTGTGTGTGTTGTGTGTGTGTGTGTGTGTTGTGTGTGTGTGTGTGTGTGTGTGTGTGTGTGTGTGTGTGTGTGTGTGTGTGTGTGAGAGAGAGAGAGAGAGAGAGAGAGAGAGAGAGAGAAGAGAGAGAGAGAGAGAGAGAGAGAGAGAGAAGAGATAAGAAAAATGCAGATGTCCTCTTTTACGCATCATTTTTTCATTTGCACAAAAAAACAATTTACTAGAATAACTTTTGCCGATACCGATCACTGTCGTATAATAATAATAATAATAATAATAATAATAATAATAATAATAATAATAATAATAATAGTAATAATAATGCTAACAATAACAATAACACTAATAATAATATTGACACCAATAACAATAATAATAATAATAATAATAATAATAATAATAATAATAATAATAATAATAACAAGAACAACAACAGTAACAATAAAATACTCGAAACAGAACAAAATGACACTGATTTTGCGTTACTCAGAACATTTGCCCAAAAGCCTACATCCAGAGCGAGACCAAAGCCGGAGTCATCTCATGAACAGTCATCGTATCGCAATTTTTAGTAACCCGGATGTCATGTCACCGCGGATTATTTCGGTAATAACAGGCCAGATTATCCTGTGCAGTGCAATGGTCCCTGTTGATACAGGTTCCAAAAAAGCTGCTTTCTTCTTCTTCTTCTTTGTACAACTCGACCTCCATATACGGAATACATAGGCATATTCTTAGAAATATGAGAATTTGAAGAGGCTATATTCTTAAATTCACTTCCTGTAGGTTGTTAACTAATCTCGTAGTTTGTTTGTGTGTGTTTGTGTGTGTTTGTGTGTGTGTGTGTGTGTGTGTGTGTGTGTGTGTGTGTGTGTGTGTGTGTGTGTGTGTGTGTGTGTGTGTGTGTGTGTGTGTGTGTGTGTGTGTGTGTGTGTGTGTGTGTGTGCGTGCGCGCGCGCGAGCGTATGTGTGTCTGTTTGTGTCATTCCTCATAGTGGTCTACTCTACCATTGGGCGCTAAGGAACAGTGCAAGCAGAAGCGGGAGATGGCAGGGGCACGGCACAGGGTACAGGGTGTAAGGGTACGCCCCACTTTCACCCTCAATCCCTCCCTCCGCCTGGCAGGAGCCCGTCTCTCCCTCACGGCACTTTATGAGTATTCATGAGATAACAAAACTCCTCTAGCACTGTATACTACCTGTCAGCCCACAGGCTCGCCCACACCCACGCCCACACCCGCCAAACACCCGGCCTCCGTGTTTGCTTGTTTCCTTCGTTTGCCGCCTTCGTCTCCTTGTCTCCCGCACCCGCGCTGATTTTGTGGCCTTGGCTGGGACGTGGAATGATCCGAATACTGAGGACCTGTCTACACCTGCGTCATCATTCATCTATCTACCTGGCTCGACAGGGTGCATAACGATCTCCCAGAAACATCGAGGGACGGTCGATACGAGAGTGGAATCCTTTTCCCTGCCCGGGTTAGAGTCAGGACAACCGAGGCTCGCTTGAATGACTCGCATCCGTCTTTCTCTTTAAGTGTACCCGCTGATGTTTGCCTTTTCTATTATTTATGTAAAAAATTATATAGCGGTTACCAAATCGCTCGGTCCTCCATATGCAAATCCTGATCTCTTTCTCCATCGGACAGATCGGTCAGCCCCTCCGGCCTTGGAAGAGACACTCGCGCCTAATTATGTTCGCACGCTGGACACTCGGCCGCCCGATGCATCATCCGTATCGGCCACCCTTCACGCTCGCGACAGCTCACACGCCCTTTGTCTGCCCTAAGTGGAGCGTGTCACCAGGACCGGCGAAGCTGACAGACCGACTCATTGACGGACCTGCGAGCTCTAAGGGCTCACGCTGTCCCGCCCGCCCTCCTGACCGCTCACGCCCTCCGCCCACTGGCTTTGGAAGAGCGCTTTAATGAGCCCGGCCCTCGGGCCCCTCCTAATCCCTTCTCCTCCTCTCTGACGCCCGCTCGCGAAAGAACGGCGCTGGCTCCTTCGCCGTCCGCGCCACCTGGGGATTGGCTCCGAGCCAAGTTCAAAGTTCAAAGACATTGGCACACACGCACGTCCAACTTACAAACTCACAGCTCGCCAGCGTACACACGGATCCATATACAAGCACATGCGCACGCCCAAGCACCTAATGCCGACCTAACACCGATTTCCCGCATGCGATAAGCCAAACAGTCATACAATCGATGCAGGGCAAGCACATCAAAATAAATGGCGAGCACCAGTGTTGCCACAGGGCCATATATAGCGAGAGTGAGTCAGTGTCACGGCCGGCAGCAGCGGCGGCGGCGGTGAGTCTGCTGTTCGGGGCGAGGCGAGGACGCAGGAGGAACCCGAGGCAGAGGAGGGTCGACCTCGCCCGTGCCCGACCCGTGCCACGACACGCAACGACTAGCAGGAGGAGGAGGGAAAGAGCAAGCATCTACCCGTTCGCAGAAGTCCTGGCGAGGCAACCGATAGCCGAAGTTAGGCAGGAGACGGCGCGGCGGGGAAACTCAAGCAAACAATCTCTATAAAAAGGGAAAAATGCTAATTGAAACCAGATTACTTCCACGAATACTCCTGCGTCCACGATTTCACGAGAAGAGCGAAAATAAACACAAATCTCTCTACACACACAAGGGTCCGAGAGCGTGCGTGTGTACATGATGAATAAAATAATAACAACAATAATAATAATAATAAACACAGCACTGGCCGCACGAAACGCCACATCTTAACTCAAAGAAAAAGAAAACGCCCAAAATACAAGACCAGAACCAAAAACAACCAGGAAAAAAGACGAAGGACACCCCAGTGCTCCACATTCCTCCATATCAATTCCTCAAAATCCAAACCCGCTTTCCCCCGGGCGGCATTCTCTCGCCCGACGCAGACCCCCTGACGCGGCGCTGTTCTCCCGCTGGGCCGACCGACAGACGCGCGCCCATGCAAATACGCGCAAGCCGATCCATCTCCATTCCTGGCACAGCGCCGTTGTGAGGTGGTCAATTAGGTTCTCCCACGGGATCGCCTCGTTTCCCCTTTACCCTTCCCCGCCCCTCACCCCCTCTTTCTTTCCTTCCTTCCATCCTTCCTTCCCACCCTTCCCCCACCTCTTCCTCATTCGTTCGCTCTCCTGTGCTGTGTGAAAAGCCCCCCCCCCATCCCTCATCCTTCAGACTCCGCCTTTGCGCCCCGCCCTCACTTGCTGATGCGCTGTTTACCCTTCCTCAGATGGGGGGGGAGGTCACGAATTTGATGGAGGATGGATGTAATGACACAATAGGCTATTGTATTCGCAGCCCGTGACGGTGATGGTCATATGACTGATAATGATAGTGATAATGAAAAATGAAATCTCACTGATGGTGATGATCAGAAAATGAAATGTTTATAAAGAAGACAGGTAACTCATGATGAAAAAACAAACATGAAACAAGGGAAAAAACAACTAAGAAAATACCATAACAGACCAAACGATCCCACCAATTCAGAAAAAGACACAGCTGACAAACAAGCAAACAACCAATTATCAGCTGACTGCCTCTCGTCTCCATCTTGAGTAAACAAACAAAGTCACTTCCTTGTCGGCGCCGTGTGTTCCCACCCACAAAGCTCCTTAAAATTTATTACCTACCCGGGAACATTACCAGTGATTTCTCGCGAAAACACATCTCCCGGAAACACACACACACTATAAAAACATCACACACGAAATAGTAGTTATGATTCGTACTAAACAAGGGAACTGGTGAAAACAAACAAACACACAAATACGAAGAAGTGCAAAATATCCCATTCATAAAATTCATTGCATGCATTGTAGATCCTCTGACTACTGACTAATGCATTATTAAGTAGATGTACACTATGACAAACGATAAGCAAGCAACCTAATACGTATTTTGCTTGTTTATATGAATATCATCCAAACACATAGTTTGCCTGTCTGTATGTACGTGTGTATATCAATATGTATGTATGAATACATGTATGTGTGAATATATGCACGCACGCAAGCACGCACGCACGCACGCACGCACGCACGCACGCACACACGCACACACGCACACACACACACACACACACACACACACACACACACACACACACACACACACACACACACACACACACACACACACACACACACACATGCTTGTTCGTGTGTATGGGTAAATGCTGGATACAATAATAATACCATAATCTACAGAATTTAACTTACCTCCTATTTATCAAGAACGAATCAGATATCAAGGTCTTCGTTCTAAAAGGGTATCCATTGTTGGAGTTGATAACTTTCTTTTGTTTCTATTTCTTTATCACATAATGACGAACGTCATAAAACCATGTTTGATTTCATGGTTATCTTATCTATTGCTCGCCCATTCATTCATTCTTTCCGTTCCTCGTTCTCAGTCTCTCAGTAAGTCAATCTCAGTCTCTCTCTGTGTCTGTCTGTCTGTCTGTCTCTTATTATACGTATTTGATTTGCTTCTAAATATCTTGTTGTTCTTTTGTGTTTCTTTTTTTTCTCGTTCGTTCTCCCGATTTTCCTTTTAAATTTCATGGAGTATATGCAGTATATTTTCTTATCTTTTCGAGGTTTAAAGAAAATTCCATTTCTACATAAATACATTTATTCAAAAAAGCCCTAAAATATCTCCCCTTTTATGTTCTAGCGTTGACACTCCTGGATCATTTCTGAAATATAAGTAAAAAATATAAACAATTAGGAACTAACCAGTTTGCAGACTGGGAAAAAAATAAGTATATCACAGTAACAGGAATCAGCACATGGATTTCTCTAGGAATGGTGACATTGATACAGGTAGAAGAGGGCGGGGCTTGGCAGGACAAGGGCGGGGGCAGGCATGAGAGGACGAGGGCGGGGCATGGGCGGAAGCCAGGCCACGCTTGCTCGCACGCCGAGGTTTAACTACACAAGGTTAAGTACACGCACCAGGTGTCACCAGGCAAGTACGATGAGGTTAGGTGGGCGTGTTTCGTTGGTGAGTAATTTGGAGTAGTTCACAATCATGGTTTTAGTCCACAACTATCGAACTAAAAGGTGGTTCTTACTAATCAAAGTCACTATCGACATCACTCTCAGATGCACTGTATTTGAGGGCGGATTCCAAGTCCACGGACGAGGTGGAGCTGGTCGCCGCCCACCACGCCGGCGAGCGAGCGTGGGCGGCGGGAGGGGGCGGCCCGGCGTCCTCACCGTCCTTGACATTGCTGCATGCAGTGGAGTCTTCCCGCAAGAATTCTTCTCTCGTAAGATCCAGTATACTCATGAATATTAGTAGCGGGCAACTGCAAAAGGGCGCTACGGCTACTGAGGTTAGTGGGTTATCGAGGCTGATAAGGGACGCACTCCGTACTGTGGGTGGGGGGCAAGGGGTGGAGGGGGAGGCGGGGCTGGGCGGTGGAGGCGGCGGGCAGCACATTCCCTCGGGCAGGTGTGTGTGGTACCTGGTGTTGGGGGCAAGCTGGTGCTGCCTTCTACGGGCTGGTTCACACAGGGGCAACACTCGGAACCGTGGAAAGTCGGTCCGCAGTGACGGTGGTGGTCGGAGGATAGGGTGTCCAGTTGGGGTGTCCAGAATTCTGTAGTTAGTGAGGTTGGCAGTCCTTCGTGACCTGGATTAAAGGTTGTGTCCGTTTCAGGTGACCAGTATTGGGCATTGTGTCCAGTCTCTTTCTCGCCAAAGGGCTGAGGGTATAGTGTGGGGGTCCAGAACAAATTCTGCGGGGAGCAACTCTGAAACGAGGTGTCGATCGGGCATGTCCAGGGTTCAGGGGCTAGGCACGGGGACATGGCTGGCGGTGTCACACTCACCAGCTGTGAGGAAGGGGTTACTGGGGCCAACGAGTCTGTTTTGGGGGAGTTAGGGAAGTGAACGGGCCGTGTTATGGGCGTCCAGTAAGGGTCACTGTCATAATCTGAGGATGAAAGGTTCGGAGAGCCATAGGCTGAGCTCTCGGTTAGGAGGACGTCACTCACACTTATCAGTGAGTCGCTGCTGCCCAAGAACAAGCGGTCAGGAGCACAGCAGACATTAGCGGGACACACAGGCTGAATACAGCTGGGTGGGTCAGCAGGGAGGGGGTGAGAACCAGGAGAATCAGCGTGTGTCGCCACATCCCCTGGTAAGAAAAGGCAGGGTTGTCCTGGGGTTGCAGTGCTGGGGGGTTGGGGGAAGACACTGCGGGGCAGGAAGGGGAGACTCCAGCGCGTGAGTGGAGCTACACAACTTACTCTGGGCGGCCAGGAGCGCCGGTCGGTGATAGCGCGGGGGTGCGGGCTAGATTGTCGCCAGTGGGAGCTATCTTCCGGCGGGCGCGAGCGCATCAGGGGGACGCCCATGCAGAAGGTGCAGCCTTCTATGCCCTCCTCGGCCTCCTGCCGGAGAGCCTTCTCTTGATGCTTCCGCTTGAGCTGTTTGACTGAAGTCGGTCTGTGCGTGGGCGAGAGGGGAGGCCCGCTGCCCGGGGGAAGGTCCACGACGGCGTCCGGACTGCCGTGGTTGGGGCAGAAGGCCGGGGCCATACCCGGAAAATTGTCTATTTTGGAGCATTTGTCGTAGTAGCCGGGAGCCCACGTCACCGGCGGTGGGCAGGAGTCCGCATGGCTCGGAGACACGGGCAGCGCCATCTGCCGCACCTCCTCCAGCTCAGTGCCCCTGGACCTTCGGCGAAGCTCCGGCTCTGTCCCGTCGACGTTCGCGTTCGGGGTTCCCACGAGGTAGAACTGCATCTCCTCCTGGAAGCCCGGGATCTGAGCGGGAGCTGTCACCGCCGTCGGAGCCAGCGGCTGGCTGCTGAGCGGGAGGAGGAGGGGGGGCACCTGGTGGGGAGGCAAGATCGTGCCCACGGGAGCCTGGAATGAGGGATGGGGCGCTGTGTTGGGCGGAGGAAGCGTGCTGAACCAGCATCCTTCCTGGGACGTTTGGGAGGTCTGCGAGAGACGACGCATCAGGGCATCCGAATCCACGTCTTTGGCGATGTAGGACCTTCGCTGCACCCATCTCGGGGGAGGCGCCGGGGGCTGGCCGAGGGCTTCCTGCGGGCGCCTCGGAGGGGCGGGAGGATCTTCGTCGGAGGTGTTGACGCAGAGAGCGGGCGCGGCGTAGTACTCCCCCGAGCTGCAGGAGTGGCGATCGGGGCCTTCGCTATCACTCGGGTGCGCGAGAGCCGTGGCAGGAGCCACGCGCCCACTCTGCACGTTGTACACGCCCGCGGTGCCCTCGCCCAGCCCGCCCGAATAGCGTCGCGCGAAATACGACGGCGGTAAATTTGTGTCGTCTATTAAACCAATATCACTGTTATTGTTGTTGTTGCTGGTATTATTGTTGTCGATGTTGTTGTTGCTGTTGTTATTACTAATGTTGTTATTGACTGTTACATTGTTATTATTACTGTTATTACTATTCGGCGACCAGTCTGCCGGCTGAGGGACGACGCCGTGGTTCGCCTCCTTCTTCTGATAACTCTCTAGTTTTGGTCCCAGATACTTGCTAGCTTTCTTTAAGCTGTTTTTAAATGCAGAAACAAACGTCCGGTCTGAGCTCTTCTGAGAGCCCCGGCGCGTCCGCGGAGGGGCGCCGCCGGGAGGCTCTGTCGGCAAGGCGTCGTCGCATGCTTGTGACTCGACCGCGGGCTGCTTCAGTTCGTACTCCATCATGTCGCCGTTGTCCATTTGTTGCCCGGCCTCTGCGTCGTCGTCGAGGTCGTCCTCGAACATGAACATGAGGGCGCTCTGTCCCTTGAAGCTCTGGAAGTCCTCCAGTCCCTCGAAGTCGACCGCCGCCATGCCGTCCTCCTCCTGCCAAATGTACCCGAGGAGGGCCTGGTCCTCGCCGCTGTAGTACATGGTGCTGTCGTCGTCCAGCATTTCGTCGGAGGGCATCTCAGAGGGATAGGGCTCGTCCTGACCCTCCGGCAGCGCAGGCTCTCTCCCGACGTCGGAGTCCGAGCCGAACTGCTGGACGTACCCGACGGGAGGAGGGGGAGGAGGAGGAATGTCGAATTTCTCTTGTTCTTCGTAGCCAACGCTGAAGGAATCGTCTTCTGCCGGATCTCGCGGGATGGCCAGGCTGCTGAGGTCCAGTCCGTCTTCACAAACATAGGGCTTCTGTTCACGCTTCTTTGCATCGCGAGACTCGTTCAAAATGTTCATGTTCTTCGACCGTCTCTGTTCGAGCGAGCGGCACTTTCGGTCTCCCGGTTTTAGCTTGATCTTCGTCTTGACGAACAAGAAGTCCGCCGAGTCCGAGTCGCTGGAGACCCGATCGGACTCGCTATCCGACTCGCTGTCAGACTCTCCGTACTGCTGCAGATCGAGCTTGGTCATGAGACTCAGGTGCTTGGTCTTGGCCCTGCAGACGGCGGGAAACACCTTCGGCAGCGGGGAGATTCTGAGGGCCTCGAGGTCCTCCGAGCGCAGCATGGGACCCGGGGGTCCACCCGAGGAACCCTTCATTTTGGTCTCGCTGGCACCGGACGAGTCCTCCGGGACGTTGCCCAGCTCCTTCTCGAACCTGCGCAGCTTCTCTTCCAAGCGGCGCATTTCTGCGTCCATGGTGTCGAAGTCCTCGTCGCTCTCGTAGCCCGTGCGCTCCTCCTCGCTCTCCGGTGCGTTCACGGCAAGCAGGGCGCGCCACTGCACCTCGTCCTCGTCCTCGTCCAGCGGCAGGAGATCTCGCCGCGCCACCGGGCCGCCGCTCGACGTCCACGACGCCTCGGACCCAGTCGACGAAGCCGAGGCCGACGCGGAAGCCATCATGTCGGGGTCGGTTATGTGGCCGCCGGACGAGACAGAGCCGTCCTCGGGGGCGTCGCTCCCGGGTTTCCTTATCAGGACCAGAGGGCGCCTAGCGTCTGTTCTCACAGCCTTGGCCACACCTCCCGACGAGCTCGTTGACTGCGTTCCCGTCATGCTGCGAGATGACGTCGCCGACATTTCAACCGAGGAAGTGCCAGACATCCCGGAAGAGTGTGTTTCTGATGCGCTGTGTGAGAGTGCGCCCTTCCCGAAGTCTGCCTCTCCTGCCGAATGCTCTGAAGTCGCGGGCGAGGCTTCCATCAGGGTGGGAGAGGACGCCTGCAGCTGCTGGTGCTGATCGACCTCCGGAAGATCCGATGTATCAACATCCGTGACCACTAGCGCCACGTCATCGCTGGCGTCGACGAAAACGTCCTCCGCTTCGTCGTCCTCGGGTGGAGGAGGACGGCTGGGCGGCTGCTGATTCGGGGTGTCCACGCGAACAACCGTTGCAACGCTGGTGCAGCTGTGACTGAACCCGTGGCCAGGATCTGGCGTGGCCACCTCCAGAGCCTGTTCGTAGTCATCCTGCGATCCTTCCCTTCCTAACAAGGAATAGCGGCGATCACATTCCCTCGGCGGAGGGGGCGGGGGCACGGGAGGGGGCGGAGGTACTTCCTCCACACTCGTTACCACGACGCTCACCCCGCTCGGCGACGTACCCGGTTCGTCGTCTCGTGTAGCAGGCTGGTCCACCGGTCTTGCGTGGGAAGGCACAGCCGATCCTCCAAACTCGTCTGCAACTGACGGACAAATAATATCCTTCCGGCCACCTTCGTTGCCGTCTTTAGTGCTTCCGCTCGTCACGCAAACGTCCGGTTGCAGCAACTCAGCAGGGGGAGGCGGGGGACGAGGTGGATCGGGGGGCGACGGGGGAAGGCGAGGGGCGCTCTCCTCGACGTCGACGCCACTTTTATCTTCGCCTTTGATGTCTGATGTTGACGTCACTTCTTGATCACACAGATCTGGGGCGGACTCGTCAATGAAGAGAATATTTGTCTGATTATTGAGCAGTAAAGAATCCCTCGCGCGTCTTCGAGGCAAGCTCCCTGTTGCGGGAACCTCTATGGGACCCGCCACGACCTCTCCACCGGCAGGTTCTTTAGCTTCGTTCCCTACGTCCACGTGACCTTCTTCGATGAACAACTCATTCTTGCCCGCGGATGCATTCACACCTGGTATAAGACTCCCCTCGGAGTGATTATCCTTCTCACTCTTGACGGTCTTCCCCTCGACACCCTGGCTCTTGGTTTTCGCGGCAAGCTTCTCGCTCTCCCGGCCGTACTTCAGGGGGATCGCATTGAGCCACGACTCCGGCCCGAAGCCAGAGCCACCGCTCGCCCGAGAGGGGGGAAGGCACACCGGGGTTGGCATCCGTCCCTGCGATCGTCGGGGGGTGATTTGGGGTTCCTTTGAAGAGGGCCCCGTCGTAGGTGCTGGTGCCCCATCACTGACATGGGGTTCCTTCGCGGAGAGCTCCGTCGCAGATACTCCACCACTGGAATTCTTGGTGCTGGGCACTGATGCAACTTCTGCGGAAACTTTGATCTTTTCTGGTGGTGTTAGATCACCTGGAGATGTTGGTAGCACCTTATCATCCGCCGGTTGCGTTACACCAGCCTGATCTCTAACAGTTGTCGTGGCACTAGATTTGTCTTTAACTGCTGTTTCCTGTATGACATCACCCTTAACGCTTATCGGTAGTGTGACATCAGTATCGACTCTAGAAACTCTTTTTGGCGTAGCATCAGTCTCTCCTTCGGCAACTGGGCCTTCGATGTGATCTCTAACCGCCGGCAGCATTATAACAGTCATACCCTTAGCTATGCGTTGTGGTGGGGTTTCATTTTGATTACTAATAACTGCTCCTGAATCACTTCGACCACTGACACCTGCCTGTGGTCCTGCCCCTCGTGGCTCATCAACAACTAATGCCTGTATGACGTCGGGCGGACTACTCGAAGCGGGTAGACCTATGACGTCACCGGTTTCTTTGGTATTTATGTTATTCTCATCTTTCAATACGAGTTGTATCACTTCATTTACGTCCTTGGTGACGACCTTATCATTTTCATGGACTTCGGGTCCGGATACAATGATATTAATCCCACGGTTATACATTTCACTCTTACTTTTGACAGCTCCATTTTGACAAGCCGGCGGCCCATTATTCTCCTCGTTTCGTTCATCCACATTTTTCACATCACGGACCACCCTGTTCTCCGTAGGCTGCGACTCGGCTTTCCTATTTTGAGTTACAATTTCCCTCACATGTGGCACAGAACTTTCATTTCCCGAGTCACAACGGTCAACGGCCGGGGAGCGCGGCTCGCCACGCGCGTGCGGCGCAGCCCCAGCCGCCAACTCGCTCCCCGAACACGAATCTCCGCACGAATCGATTGTCATTTTGATCTTGTTTTTAAGGGCGGCATCCAGGGGCGCGATGAAAGGGCGCGGAATGGGCGGCAGCGCGCGCTCCGTTCGCGAGCAGGATTCCGACCTCGCTGCCGCGTGGGGCGCCCCGCGTGGCTCCTGCCCTGCGCCGTCCTCTTGCGAGGCGCCCAAGCACTCCGCTACGGCCTCAGAGCTCCCCGAGCCGATCCGCGACGCCGACTTGGAGCGCGCCGTGGCGTCGCGTTCGACCACGAGGGGCTGGACGTGGCCCAGCGAAGAGTTCCTCTGCCGAGCCACTCGGTCAGGAGGGTCTAACTTGGTACGCGCCTGCTGGGACTGCAGCTTGGTACCGCACACGATATCCAGCGGGAAGTGAGTCGTTCGCGAACGCGGCCGGACGCACACCTGTTGCCGGATGAGCGCCGCCCGCTCGCTGATCCCCGGCCCACGACCCACTGCAGGCGCACTTGGCTCCGCGCCCACGCTCTCCTCTCTGCTCGGTGTCCTTCCCCTGCCGCCGCCGATACTCCCCGCGGACCTGTTACGTTGCAGGGGCGGAGGCGTAACCGTTCGCGCCTTCGTCTCGTCACTAATGCACTTATCTGCGACCAACTGCTTATCACTGGCACCGTCAACATCACTTGCACCGGAATCAGACAACCTCGCGGTATCGCCCCGGACGACCTCGTGACCACGTGCCTCCCCGGGGACGTCCGAGGAGGATGCCGGTCTGCACGGAACTCCTGCGCCGTCCTCACCGACTGAGGCTCGCGTCTGCTCTGCCGTCTGCGCTCTATTACTTTCTCCTTCGACACTATCACTGTCAGACGTTGGAGCAGGTGGTTGCGAGGCAGATGCGGTGCCTGGAGAAGAAGAGGAGCTTTCCGTTGCAGAATTGCATGCGATAGAGAGTTCGTGACAATGTGTTTGTATGTCGTTAGCTTCTTCCTTTTCGATACTCTGCGATATGCATTTGTCTTCTATGATGCAGAGCTCGTTATCACGATTGCAAGACTGAGGTGGAACACACAATCCTGCAGAAACGTCTTGCAGGGGCTGTGCTTGAGTATAAGGTGACGAGGAAAGTTTCACCGGCGAGGGAGCCACATTGGCACTCTCTGTACTTGTTGCATCTTCTCTCACTGGTTCAGTAATCTGTAAAATCCCGGAGTTACGCCCCTGAGGCACGCCGATCGTCGTTTTGTTTATATTTTCGACAGCATTATCTATTCTAGCGCCAATCGCTTGTGATTCTTTCGCTACACATGGTACATCCCTAATAACGCCCTCGTTGCCGTGCACGTGCCCTTGCAATGCAATACGCCGATCAGCTGCCGTTGATGTGTAATGAGAATCTTGCCCCGCGGTTTCTTGCTTGCTCTCGTTAAGGCGTGACTCCGCAGGCACACTCGCGGCATCACTGCTCGCGACGGACAACGGCCCCGACGGAGGCGCAGTAGCAGAGGGCAATCTCTTATCTAATTCCGAAGGAGCCGAGTTTCCCAGCAGACGCACCTTGCCAGGCTTCTTCGATAGCGTCTCCAGCGAGGGAAGGGCAGGAGCTATAACGTCATCGCCCTTTTGAGAGCGCTCTTGGCTGCGGGAGTCTGCCGAGATACCCTTGCCCTCTGCCTCTGCCTTTTCCTCTAGCGAGGTCGCAGAAGTCTGCCCGAACGATGGCGAAGGAGGGGGCGCCTGGGAAGGGAAATCGCTCGAAGGAGGAACAATTGGCTCGACGATTCTAAGACACGTGTCTGCTGCGCCTTCGCCAGGGCTGGCTGCCGGTCCCTCTGGCGCTTCATTAATAATAAGTTTCTCGTCGACGGTTTGTTTCGTGTCCCCTTCCTGCAGACGTGGAAGGGGCGCGACCCTAATTGCGTTACCGTCTGCCGTCGTTACTTCCTCCAGGGGCACCGCAGCGCCCTGAGGTGTGTCATTCTCACTCGTCCTCATCTTTCTTAACCTAATATCATTTTGAGCTATTGCAGATTGCGAGGCGGAACTGAGCGGCTGTTTATGTTCAATACCCGGGGTGGAATTCCCAGCAGGTTTTGGCTGAGCGCATGTGGTAGTTCCGCAAGTAACATCTAGGTCACTACCTGGTGCCACAGGGCCACCAGAAGCGACACCAACAGTGCCACCAACAGTGCCACCAACGCTGATCCCGGATAGGGGTACGGTGATCTTTGCGTCACCATCACAAGGCACTTTACTAAATACTGTACATATATCTTGTTTATCTGGTGTATTTTGGGGTACACCCGGAAAATGAGGTAATGACTGACTACTAGAATTACCATAGGCACCACTTGGGGAACTCACACTGTCACCCTCTTTCACACATTCCGTTTCACTCTCTTCTAAAGATTTGTTCTCGAGTAAATTACAAGGTCCATTCGGGGCTGGGACTTGAGTCTGTTGCCGACTTTGCACCGTGGTAGTAACACCAGTGTCCCCTGGAGTACGGGCATCAATCCCCTGCGTACTGGGGGCATTCTCACTGTGCCCATTTCGCGGAGTCGACTCGTCCTGTCGCGCCGCTGCCGAGCTCCCCTGGGCCGACGGCAACCCCGGCGGAACACTTGACGCGGATGGAAACTCGAAGATCTGCGACGACACGGGCGACAGGAGGGGCGACATGGCCCGCGACGAAGTGCCTGGGGGCATGGACGAATACCGCGCCTGCGGCATCTTCCTGGGCAAGGTGGCAGAGCGGAAGAGGGGGTAGGGGTCGGGGGAGGCTGGCCTCGACCCCAGGCTCACGCCGCAGAGTTTGATGTAGGAGCCTCCACCTCCGCCTGCTCCTCCTCCTTCAGCCTCCTGAGCGAGGCCCGGGAGGCCCCCTTCCCCGCAGCCCCTGTACATCTGCATATCGCACACGTCAGAGTTCCTGTTGGCACGGCTGGTCTGCCACGTCGAGTCGCCCTTAACGCGGAAGGTCACAGAGTTGGTAATATTTTGACTTGATGAACTTCTCGAACTCGTAAATATTGGCAACAATTTTTTAACTTTTACGTTTTCATTTTTGGCGATTTTAAAGCCATATATAGAACTTTGGCACTTATTTATATCGGGATGTTGCGGCGCGGTCGAAGTGTGAGGTGGGCGAGAGCCCGCTACACTCTCGTTGTCACTGCTCATGGTCACTAGTTCACCATCACTATTAATAGCCGCCTCCCAATCCTGGTCGGAGAGCACTAATAGCCACTGATCACCGTCACCTTCCTCATGATCACACGCAGCCTCATCGTCACTCCCAAGCACAGGATACTCCCAAAGGATTTCCCCCACGGACACCAGCACGGAACCGATCACCGCCCCCGGATATCGCGGGGCGTGTGCCTCCCCCACCGTGTCATGGCTACGACTGCCCGCACACCCGCCACCAGTGCCAGTCTGCTGTAGCACTTGGCACTCATTCCCGTGCGGCCGCCGGGCCAGGTCGCACCCGTCCACTAACACTGAGGTCCTCTCACGCCGCGCTCGGCCCTTGCCCGCGGCTGGAGTCTCCCCCTTCCTCGCCGAGTCCTCGCTCCCTCGGACGCGCGCTCCCCTCACTCCTCTCGAGGGGAAGCCGCCCCGCTCCCCGCCATTATGCTCGCCCTCTTCCAGCACTCTCACCGGGCGAGCGTGCACTAGGTCGCTCTGGCAAGGAGGCGTCCCTCCCCTTCCCTCCGCCGCCTCCCCACCTCCGGTGTGACGTGCGACCGCAGGAGGCCCGCCACACACCTCATTACCGATACCACACGTGCCTCTTATCACACACTCGGGAGAACAGGCGCCACCGCCGCAGCGCTCAAATGCCCCAGCGTCGCCCTCGCCCCTCACGCTGCAGGCAGGCGGAGGGTCCTCGCGCTCCTCCACGCCACGCTCAACAGACGCGGGTTCGGAATCGCCTTCGCCACAAGCGGGGGGCAGGAGCATGCTCGGCATCCCGGAGCATTCCCGAGGAGAGGAGAAATAGCAGCGCGTGTGAGGCGCCCCTCTCGCCCCGACGCCAGAGCCACACGGAGGCTGAGGCGCCGTAGGGTCGCTTCTCGGGCCGGCGGCGGCGCGGGCTTGCGCCTCTGATGCCGCGGCTGATAGTTGGGGCAGCTGCTGAGGAGGCGGAGGGGAGGGCGCGGGGGGAGGGGGAGTAGGAAGGAAAGAAGGATGAGGATGGGGAGAGGAAGAGGGGACCGAGGGGGAGACCGTACGATGGAGTGGGGGAAGAGGGGGAGAGAGAGGAAGTGGAAGAGGAGGGGGGAAATGAGGAAGAGAAGGGCGAGGAAGATGAGGAGGACGAGGAAGATGGGAAGCAGGAGGAGGAGGAAGAGGAGGATGTGCAGGGAAAAGGGGAGGGGAAGGGAGTTGAGGAGAGAAGGAAGGAGGAAGAGGAGTGAGAGAAGGAAGAGGAGGAGGAACTGAGGTAGGAAAACTAGTAGCGCTAAGAGGCGATATTACAGAAGCACTAGTAAGAGCAGAGGCAAAAGCGCGGCTAGAACTACAAGCAGGAGGTTTAGTCACTGAACTTCCATTAACCATCACGGTAAAATCATTAACAGGTTTTAACTCGTCGTGGTTTATCATCTCCATGCCGTCTGCTGAATTTACATCATTCGTTTTTAAGCTCGGGTTTACACTGAAGCATTTGATGTTAGAGGAATCTTCTACACAACTGAGATCTGTATTGTTTATAATATTTTCGTTGCCTGAAGGCTCACTACACACATCCACATCCTGTCGCTCAGCACCTTCGGCGTCTCCGCACGTCGCACCGCCTGCCAACGCAGCACTCTTACACTCCTTTAGCATCGCACTTTCATCACTCGCTCGGCAGTGATGAGCTTTACTCCTAGCACAGCAGAGGTTCAAATCAGGGTCCCGAAATATAACACGTTCACTCTCGTCTCTGTGGTCCACGGCACCCTTGTTTTCCCGTGTACAGCATTCCTCACTTTCCTTTGTACAAGAGCGGTTTTGTTGTGCAGAACACTTATTGTCATTCTCACTAAGGCTTCTAATATTAAACTGAGTAAAACGTACAGCCTCCTTTTGCGGACAAGGAAGAGTGCTTCCTTGTTCACAGCACTCTGTGTAACACTGAACACCACCACACTTAGGACTACCCGAGCTGTTTTCTCCCCCGCTACACCCTGAGTGTTTCCCCGCACCCTGGGCATATCCGGGCGCGAGAGGATCGTCGAGTGAGGGCGGGTGTCGCTCGCACTCAATCACCGTGACCCGCTTCCTGTTGCTTCGCTTAACTGTGCAGAGAGTGTCACCGAAAATGTCGGCCATGTCCTCGTCACTGTCTTCATGGTGCGGCGAATCACCGCCCGCCCGCCCCCCGGGAGGGTCCCTGCAAGCGCGGTCTATATCCCTGTCCAGCGAGGGCACAGCAGCAAGAACAGGCACCTCGCGTTGGCGGCGCAGCTGGTCGGGCACTGATGCCACGCACTCATCCTTCCCCCTCGCTGCCCCACTCACGCCATCCTGCGCGTCTTCACCTCGCCGGGAGGGGGAGGAAGCGGGCCCGCGTGCCGGGACAGTGACACGCGGCGGGAGACCGTGTTGGGCGCCGACGCAGGGACACGTCCACCCGAGCCCCGCTGGATCACACGGCGTATCCAGGGCATCGTGCATTCGAGGGGCGCCCGTCACGAATGGCGAATCACCTGCGGCGAATCCCAGCCCGTGCTGAACAGCTGGTGACGTCCCGAGACACAGCGGGTCGTGGCGTTCCCTTGCCCCTGAAATCGATCTCCGCCGAGCCCTGCGAAGATGACGGTCGCCTGGAGACAAATCCTGATTAAGATGCGAGCCGCCTGACTCATTTCGCCCGTCACCGACTCCGCGCTCTTGGCACGAGAGGCGATCCGGCCGCCACGCTAATACCCGTGATGCCACCGTGCCCGTGTCGCTCTCCTGCCCGCCCATGCCCTCCCGCTGGTCATCAACCTCGCGGTCCTCCTCGTCATAGGAGGGGTTCCACTGCCACAGGGCTTCGCACGAGGCCGTGAACGAGCCCAGGCTGTACTCGCTGCCGGCATCCGTCCCCAGTTCGCCGTCAGTAGCATTACTCTCGCAGCAGGAGCACCATGCCCCGCCGCAGCTGTCGTCCCCACCGGAACTGCACGTCTCGTAGCTCAGCAGTGAATCCTCTTCGTCCGTGTCGGAAAGCAAGGGCTCCAAGGGCTCGGCTAGGTGGGGAAGGGCCACCTCGAAGGAGGGGAAATTTAAAGCGGAAGAGCCCAAGTTCCCCATGGGCGGCCCCGCCGACACACCCGCCATGGCTGCGTCACGGACAAGCCCTTTCTCGTGATCCCCGCACGGCGCGCTCTCGTTGCTCTCTCCTGCCTGCACACGCCGCAGGCAGCCTGCCTCGCCGAGACTGACACGAGACCTGTCACCTGCAGTCATATTGACCTCAGATATGTGAGTCGAGGTCATATTGACCGGAGAGATGTTACGTGCGGTGATATCGATCCCAGAATTGTCAGACGCGGTGCTATTGATCTGTAAGCTGTCAGATGAAGTAAGAGTGACCCGGGAATCGCCGCGTGCTGGATTATCGACGCCAGGATTTCTTGCTGTATTACTGACTCCCAAATTCTCAGGTAAATCCATAAGGGCCTGGCATCTGTTCCCCGCGGCCTGAGACTTCCCACTGCCGACTGGAGTTATCTGCGAGGTGACAGGTGTGCTGCCATTAACCTGCGAGTCTTCAGATGCAAGCAAAGGGGTTGGAGAGGGAATCGTGGTCGGGGAAGTACCCTGCGAATTGCTAGGGGCGGTGAGAATGTCGCCAGGGGCCACAGGGTCATCCTGAGAGTGGGTGGCACAGGTAGAGATAATCAAACACATGTTACCTGCCGTAGCCGTGCCCTGTGACTTGACAGTTGCGGCGGCGGCGGTGACCCGAGCATTGTCGAAGGGGCTTGCCCGTAACGTGAGGGGTGGAGCGAGGTGAGGCATGGTGCAGCTCCGCGAGGAACCGCCACTCCGCAGATCAGCATCGACAGAGGTAGAGGAAGTGTGGTGAGCTTGAGCAAGGTGCGTCGGCGACACCTCCGTCGGGGCAGCAGCGGCGGAATGCGCTTCCCCGATTGCAGGCACGGCATCGGCGCCCGACACGACCAGAGGCGCAGCGCTCCCCGCCGCGTCTGCAACTGTCGTACGAACGTGGGAGGTTGCTTGGGGGTCGAGGGGCTCACTCCGAGGGGGCGAATTACGAAAGGTCGCGGTTTCACAGGGATCGGCTGGCAGCCCCACGCTCTCTATGGAGCCGCCTCCCGCAAGCGACTCCGTCGATAGCTGCATTCGTGCTTGCAAAGGCAGTGTGCGAGGCGGACTCGTCGTGCGTCCCGAGAAAGACTTTCCATGATCCCCCGGCAGCTCAGCTGGTCCGAGTTCATGTGAGCACCGAGAAGGAGACACGAGCTTTGCGTCCTGATCCCGGTCGCCCTGGAAATCTCGACTGTGCGACCGTCCCGCTGAGATCAGAGGGTCGGGCGATTCGGCTGGCGACTGCAATGAAGCACGGGCGCGCTGCCCCGGCCACTGGTCCGGCCGCTGTTCCGTCGTGGGCGAGGGCACGTCGAAGGCCAGGACGGCATCGCGCGTGTCGTCCAGCAAGGCCTGGCAAGACGCTAACAGCTCCTCCGACGACCACTTAGCCTTCTGCTGCTGGGGCTCCTCGGCGGCCGGCCCGATCTCCCTCAGCAGGCTTTCAAAGGCGGCCAGGAGGGCGTCCCCGGAGCCCTTCCACGACGCCTCCTCGTCGCCCACGTCTATCTCCGGCGACGCAGACGCTTCCATCGCAAAGGCGCGAACGCCCGCACCGTCACGCAGTCCCGCTCACGAGGCCCATGACGGCAAGCAATTACGACACAAGCACTCGCGTTGCAATCCCCCGGGCGGCGCGACACAAAGGCACAACGTAATCCTGATCAATAGCGGCGGCGGGTCAGGTGTGTCGAGAGCATGGGGGCCGGGGGAGGGAAGCGAGGGGGGGGGGGAGAGGGGGGAGTGGTGACGTACTGCAATTCTGATACGCGTTATCAATGGGCGTGTGAGTGCGTGCGCGTCAGGAGTGTGTGGTGGGCGATGAAGCCTCGTCCGGGCGTGCGAGTGAGACTGGCGGGGTAGAGGCACGCGGCCGCCGCCTCAGGTGCCCGGGCCAGCCAGCCAGCGAGCAGCCCGCCCTGCCCCTCCCCTCGCGACGCCACGGCCTCCCCTCCCCTGCCGACGCCTTGCCGCCCCTGCCCCCTCTCCTGCCGACGCCCTTGCCCGCCCCTGCCTCCCCCGCCCTCGCGACGCCCTTGCCAGCCTCTCTCCGCCCTGACTCCGGCCTCCAAGCCCCACCCCTCCGCTCAAGCACTCGCTCGCCCTTCTGAATGAGTCGCCCGCCGCCCGCATCGCAGAGAGCAAGCGCAGTGCAGGCAAGCACAATTACTTATAAATGTATGTGTATGTGTGTCTGTGTGCGTATGTGTATGTGTATGTGTTTGTGTTTGTGTGGGTGGGTGCGTGCGTCCGTGCGCGTGTGTTTATACGCATGTATGTATGTATGTATGTATTTATGTATGTATGTATGTATGTTGTATGCATGTATGTATGTGTATGTATGTATGTACGTATGTAGTATAGTATGCATGCAAGTCAGACGTATTATGTATGCCTCATGGATATATTACGTAAAACATATGCAACACAGGCACGAAACAGAAAAGCAGCATCCGAATCGCGACACACACACAACACACACCGAATCGCACACGACACACACACACACACACACAATCGCACACACACACACACACACACACACACACCACACCACACACACACACACACACACACACACACACACACACACACACACACACACACACACACACACACACACACACACACACACCACACAACACACACACACACACACACACACACACACACACACACACACACCACGAGAGAGAGAGAGAGAGAGAGAGAGAGAGAGAGAGAGAGAGAGAGAGAGAGAGAGAGAGAGAGAGAGAGAGAGAGAGAGAGAGAGAGAGAGAGAGCGAGCGAGCGATGACGCGTGTCTGGCGCCGGCGACGTCACCTGCCTCTCTCCGTGACGCCCCCCCGCCCGCCGCCGCCCATCAGAGCCCCCTCACCGCTAAGATTAACCCGAGCTCTCT